CGAGTGCCCGGTGCTGTGCTCTCGATACGCGAATCGAAGCACGCTCGTGGTGGAAGGAATTCCCTTCAGACGAGTGTAGGCGAATGTCCTTCGTCCGACTCGGATGGATGGCGACGAATATGTCATGGATTAGTTGATTAGTAGCAGTCCGGCCGGCGGTGAACCAAGCAGTTCACGTTGGGCACTGACTCAACGTAAGATTTCTTTGCCTGCGGCGGCCGAACGAGCTTGTAGTACTGGGACTGTGTGGTTGTTGAATATTTGAATCTTCGGAGACTCGGAGTGAGATCGAAAGGCGCGCTTACCGTAATTACTGTCCCGTTAGCGCCGACTTCGCTTTTTCCTGTGGAGAAAACCCCGGCAGTGCTGTGGTTCATAAGCTAAGTTTGCATCTGTCAGCGAACGAAATCCTTGCGTCGATTAGGTCATCTCCGAGTCTGTGTAGCCTCGTACTTTGCTCATACGTCGGATATATAAGGCTTGCACCTTCGCCGACCATGGCACCCAGACACTTCCCCCCTGCCTTCAGCTCTGCATTGCATCGCCCACAATGTCCGCTTCTGCTGAAAAATTCGTCAATGAACCCGCCCCCGGTGTTCCCTACTTCACCCCTGCCCAGAATCCACCCTCTGGCACTGCGCTCGACCCACAGCCAGATGGCAAGCCTGTTCCGAAGCTCTTCCAGCCTCTGAGGGTGCGCGGAACCACCTTCCAGAACCGTATCTGGGTGCGTTACCTCTCCACGCTTTCGCAACTCTCAGCGTGTTCATATCGTATTGCCAAAGCTTTCTCCTCTGTGCCAGTACTCGGCTAAGAATGGCGTGCCCGCACCGTGGCACATGGCGCATCGTGAGTAGCAGGAGTTGGCTCATGGCCTGCTTTGCATCACTAACGCGTCTACCGTTTCCAGTTGGCGGCATCGTCTCGCGAGGCCCCGGCCTTACGTTCATTGAGGCGAGCGCTGTGGCCCCAGAGGGCCGTATCACCCCTGAGGACCTTGGCATCTGGTCCGACGAGCACATCCCCGCCTTCCAAGAGATCATTACCTTTGCACACTCCCAGAACCAGAAGATTGCCATTCAGCTCGCGCACGCAGGCCGCAAAGCGTCGACTGTCGCGCCGTGGCTCTCGTTCAGCGCGACCGCGGGCGAGGATCAGGGTGGCTGGCCGAACGACGTCGTCGCCCCGAGCGCTATCAAGCACTCCGAAGGCTTCCCGTCCCCGAAAGAGCTCACGAAGGAGGGCATCCAGCGTATCAAGCAAGCGTTCGTCGACGCCGCAAAACGCTCCGTCCGGGCGGGCATCGATGTTATTGAGATCCACGCCGCGCACGGCTACCTGCTACACGAGTTTGCGTCGCCCGTGAGCAACCACCGCACAGACGAGTACGGTGGCAGTTTCGAGAACCGCACGAGGTTGCATCTCGAGATCGTCGATGCCGTCCGCGCCGCGATCCCAGAAGATATGCCTCTTTTTGTCCGGTAGGCTACTTCCAGCTATTGTGCCCATTCGCAAACTCACTGGCTGCAAACAGGATCTCTGCTACTGACCGCCTCGAGACGGTCTTCCCTGACCAGCCTTCGTGGACGGTCCAGGACTCGATTCGCCTCGCAGAACTCTTTGCACAGCGCGGTGTCGACGTCCTCGACGTTTCGTCCGCAGGCAACCACCCGCAGCAATCGCTCCCGCCGAAGGGCAAGGAGGCCTTCCACGCGGACCTCTCTGGCCCGATCAAGGCTGCGCTCGGCGATCGCCTCATTGTCACCACCGTCGGGGGCATCACGAACGGCAAGACCGCGCAGGCCGTCCTCGACGCGAACCAGGCCGACGTCATCTTTGTTGGCCGTCACTTCCAGAAGCACCCCGGTGCCGTCTGGGCATTCGCTGAGGACCTTGGTGTGAGCATCACCATTGCGAACCAGATTGCCTGGGGCTTCATCGGACGGGGTCTCGTCAAGCAGCAGAAGGAAGTCCCAGCATCGCGTTCGTAAAGGGTATTATAAAATACACTTAGACTAGAAGCAGTTACGCGAATTGCTCCGCGGCTTCAATACAGGCATCCAATAGATATCCATGATTTTCAGAAGGCGTAGCTTGTGAGAGGCGGTCCAGAACTGCGCTCAAGACCTTTTCGCGGCTGGAAGGACAGTTAGCTGCAACCAGTAAACTAGGCGAGGCAGGGGTGACTTACTCAGCGCTGCCGTACGCAATCTCGACGTCGCATTTCAGCCCGCGAATGGACAGCGGCCAGCGCGAAAACGTGTTCCAGTCGAAGATAAACGAGACAAAAGCTTTCGACTTCGCCGAAGGGAGCATTATCATGGCGCTCGCTCGCAGAGATGACGGGGCGCCTTCCACGGGCACAGCCTCGACATCGAGCGGAAACCTGATGCGAAGGAATGTCAGCTGCGATCGGAGCTGCGCGCACGACGACCAGAAGTCGCCGAGCGGCTGCACCACTGAACACAGCTTCGTCTTGCCCTTCTGTGCCATGAGCACGTGTCGCGCGTTCGCGATCATGAGCTGCGTAAACGCCAGGAACGGGTCGCGCTCCTTGAGCTTAGATTCTGCCGTTTGTACCACGATGGTCTTGTCGAACTCAGGGCGAAAATTGACGCACGGAACGGTGACGTGGTACCGTGTGGCGTAGAGGAACTCGAATAGGTCCGGGCTAATCTTGGTTACGCGCCACGAATGGAGGTCTTCTAAAGTCTCGAGCTCGACTACATACGCGTCAGTAACAAAGTTGAGCGTCCTAGCTGTGAAGCTTACCTTTAAGACGGGAAACCTCGGAGCTGTTACTCTCGGTTTTGACCTGGATAACACGCTGGGCCTCAGCTATGGCAGCATTGGTTTCCTTCTTCTGCGCTTCGATTTCATCCAGCCTCTCCTGCAGCCGCTGAAGCTTGGTTTCGGCCTCTGAGACATTCGCCTTGAACGACTGGATCTCCGTGCTGGATATAAACGTTCAGCCATATATAACGTCATGATAGGGATTTGCCCACTCTTGCTCAGCGATAGACACTTTGAGCTCGTTGAGATATTCCTTGTCGGACTTCTCAAGTTCAGCAACGGCTGTTTCCTCCTTCTCAAGCTCTTCCATGACCTGCGCGTACTCGGCACGCAACGAGGGTAATATGTCCTGTGCTTCGTTGGTAATCCCTTCCAGGAATTTGGCGTCGCTCTCGAGGCCGCCAAACGCCTCTTCAGCGGACTCGAGCAGCCGGTCGACCCACTCGCTCTTCCAGTCGTACCACTGCGATTTCGCACTGCCGACACAGTTCGCTTTGATGATTTTGAGTTGGTGCTACACTGGGATTCAACCACCTCGCTTGTAAGTATGGACGATGATAACTTACTAGGAGGTCCTGCTTTTCTACCTCATCCGCGAGCGCAAACTCTGCGAACAGCGCGGGCGTCATCCTGAGTACGTCTTCCTCCGCCTGCTTGCAGATCTTCTTGCTTTCGTCGATCCAGCCGGTGAGGTCCTCCGAGAGTACGCCGTACAGCTCAAGCTGTGGCACCTCTATGGACATCGCGGCCATGTACTCGGCAAGCGCAATTGGCTCCGCCTCTTCTGAGTGCGAAGAGGTCAATGATCGCCGCCGGTTGCGCGTACGCAGATGCGCGGGATGGATTGTCGATCGCCGCGGGGCGGTAATCTCGTCCATGAACCGGATGCCGGTCATCTGGAAGAACTGCTCGATGGAAATCGTAGGCTACAGTACCATCAGAATCACCGTCCACTCAAAGAGACAAACTCGACGCGTACCTCCTCGCTCTCAGAGTTATCTTCGACGCCCTGCAGCCATTGCTGGGTCACCTCCACTCCGTCGATATCCATTGGCCTGTCAGTCGGTACCGGCTCATCCTCCTCCGCAAAGCTTAGAGTCTTTGTCGGTGCTTTCTCTTTCTCCTTTATGCCTACATTGTCTGCGGATGGCACCACGACGGGGGACGCGGGCCTGAGTGGGGGCGCGGCAACAGATTGCCTTCGCTGCCCGAAGATAGAAGGTCTAGGAGCAGGTAATGTCGATGGCCTCCTTTGCTGCTGCTGCTGCTGCTGCTGGTGTGCAGGCGAGGCAGCACGAACCATGAAGGGCGACGGCGAGCCGCGCGTCGGGCTTGGCGTAGCAATTGCCTGGCGACGAGCCTCGCGTTCGCATTCCTTACCCTCTTCACCATCCGCTTTGTCCTTCCTGCTGGGACTCGCGGGATTTGATGACGGGACCTCATCAGGACTCGGTGTGCGCGTGCGAGGAAGTGTGAGGTTGGTCTTCTGCGTCGATTCCTCCTGGATAGTGGACAGGTCTGGGTAGAGCCGTTCCGGCTGCTCATCTTCGGCCGGTTGAGGCGTGGCGCGATCCTCATTCATGTCTACGCTTGCCATCTGCAAGGCAACAGGTTGGCTAGCCACCGAGGGCACAGAGATACTCTTCGACAAACTCGACGCCTCAGGATTGGTTTGGAATGGCGGTACACTAGCAGCCGGACCCAAACTTCTCCTCTGCGCGAAGTACCCCGAAGGACGCCTCGCCGCGCTCGCACTTGCCCTCCGGTTCTGGTTTTGTTCACCCTGCGCGGGTACGGGCTGCGGCCGCGGTTGGGTCTCACCCAACTTTTCCACTACTTGTTTCTTCGCAGGACTGGGAGCATCGACGTCTAGGTCTGTAACAAGGTCTTCAGGCACTGGGCGTTTACGCGGGGATTTGGGCACAGTGTGTGGAGCGAAAGCTGCAGTTCCGCGAAAGACAGGGAGTTTGGATGGCGAGGAGGGCGGTTTAGGTGTCGCCTTAGGAGGTGTGTCGTTGGTGATGCGTGAAGGGACGCTGAAAGTGAAGGGCTTGGGGACAGTCAAGGGCTGCTTTGCCGGAGATTTTGGAATTTGTGACGGCTTAGCAGAAATGGTAGAAGGGGCGGGAGTAGGCGTAGATTGAGAAGAGGATTGGGTCGAGTTGCCTTGCGGGGGTGTCGTAGATAACGTGAAAACAGGAGGTGGGGCGACAACCTGCGGAAGAGACGTTAACTTCGGTGCAGGTGCACTGAAGACAGAGGGTCCAGCTGAGAACACAGATGGTGGCACAGAGGACGACGGCAAAGCGGACCGCGTCTCCTCGGTTCGAGCTTGCAGCGGTAGCGCAGGTGGTTCTACATTTGACTGCTCCGCTGCTTGTTGCTGCTGAGACGGAGGCGGAGGTAGTGGTTCATCATACCCCAAATTCTGTGCACCACCAAGACTCATGCGAATTTTGGTCAGGTTCAGAGTTTGATTACCATCTAGAGAGACATCTCCAAAGCTATCTTCCGTGCTGGTGAACGTGTCGTTCATGCCATCTTGAGCAAACGAGAAGCTCTGTGTGTCACCCTCCTGCAGCGGTGGCAGGCCAAGGGATGAACGCGCCTTCGCCAGACGCGACAGTGCAACCGTCAGATCCATTCCCGACTCGTCTAGAGACCCGTCCTCCTGCCCGCCTTTCGCTTCACCCGAAGGTTCTTCCTGATAGCTCTCATTTCCGAGCCTCGCTTCAAGAACATGGTGTTTGAGCTGTGCACCATCCTCGTCCCAGTATGGCTCTGACTGTACGATGACGTTGGCTTCAGGGTCGTCGAGAGGCTCCATCTCGGGTTCCTCGTAAGGCTCGGTGCCAGAATGCGTCATGGCACGCAGCTTGAGCCAAGCCTCGTCAGGTGGAGGAGGCGGGCGGAGGATTGGAATTGTAAACTCCATAGGCTGGCCGGTGCTGTCACCATTGGACGAAGTCGTAGGGTCTATAGATGTAGTGGTCACGTCCATGTCGGACTGCGTCATAACGGTGTTATTCTCTTCAGGATCTGCAAACCGAGCGCGGCGGATAGTGTCGTTTTCCTGGTCGAAGCGATTGAACTGCTGAGTGTCATCGTCCTCATCTTCATCGGGTTCTTCGCGCACAGCTAGCTGACGGGGTTGGTAGGGTTGGTTCTCGCCAAGGTTCTGTGAAGAAGTCACGATACTTGAACGTCGCCCGCTCGATGAACCTGCAAGACTTTCTCGCCCGGATGCCAAGCTCTCCCTTCCAAACCCGAGAGAAGACTTGCGCGCCCCCAACGCTTGCCTCGGAATCGCCTGTGTGACATCCATGTCCTCATAGTCCCCTTCGTCATCAAACTCGGGCTGTTCCTCGTCTAAAGCCGGGCCATCGAGGAAATTCTGTGGCATAGGGGCTGTGTCATCTTCGTCCAACTCCATAGACTGCTCGCCTTCGCCAAAGTTCTCTGGTTCGGTGGGGAAACCTGTAGACGACCTTCGTCGCGTGGTCTTCTTCTGTCGTTCTTCTTCCCACTCTTCTTCCTCTTCTTCCTCATCGTCCTCGTCCTCGAGTTGAGATTTGCGGGCGTTCTTCTTGCTCTTCTCGAATAACCTGACATGAGCATGGCTCGCGAAGCTGACACGCCGGGCGAGACTCTTGCGAGACGGCTTGATGATCTCTGTAGTGTCCATCGAGAGGGTCACATTTTGAGAGTCGATGCTAAAAGATGCTGTAGCGGATTCTTGACTGAGACGGTTGTGAGTCTTGAGGATGCTTTTGCGTGGGGCCTAGAGAGCGGTCAATGGACTGGACGGAGTGACGTTCAGGAATTTTGTACCAAATTTCGGGCTCTCGCAGCTGGACTGAGTTTCTCACCGGGAACTATGCTGTACGCTCTCCGCTTCTTCTGAATAGTCTTAGACGAGGGCTGTCCAAGCACTGCGATCGACCGTCGCCGGCTGGGCGAAATCTTTGGTGGCATTTTCCCCGCAACTTCTTAGAGAGCCGAAAAAATAAAGAGGAATAAGATATTTGAACGGCGGCCAAACTAAATGACGACTGTCGGTAATGTATGGCGTCGTTGTAGTGGCGGAACAACAGAGGGGAGAGGCAACACGACTCGGTCATGTGATCAGACGCGCTGCTTTCGCGTGTGCCTGGGCGCTCTCCGCCACACGCAGCTTCAATCCAACATCCTCGACGCAATTTCTTGAGCTTGAGTAAACAATTAAATATCCCTCCTTCAAATCTGCCCAAGTTGTGAAGATGTCGACGAAGCCAAAGACAACCCGCACCACTACGGCAAGAACAAAGGCTGCGACGAATCCGCCACCAGCCCCATCGAGGACGACGCGGACTGGCACGAGGGCTACACCAACGCCGCCCCCAAGCGAACCACCGAAGAGAAGCACGACAAGGAAACCGCTCGCAACCCGCGAGAACTCTCTCGAGCACAAGACTCCTACTCCGGACAACTCGCAGCCGAAAGCCACATTGCCGAAGCCTTCAAGCCAAGCGAGCATAATAGATGATACAGACACAGAGCCTATTCGAGTACGCTGCTACGCGTTTTTACTCAAATGGCCGCTGAACCAGGCTGCAGGCCTTTCTTCGCATACGGCCGCAGTTGGGAGAAGACGATGAGACGATGCAACCAAAACCGTATCTCGAGCCTATCTCAGATACAGCCGTACGTATGTCAGACTCAACACAATCCTCCAGTCTCCCAACCTCTCGTCTATCAACTGTGCCACCGTCGTCAATCTATACTTTCTCCCACATCTTTCCTCCGGCAACGAATCAATCTGAATTCTTCGCGAAAACAACCTTACCACTAGTCAAAGACGTCCTTGAGGGGCAAAGTGGGCTATTGTTCACGTATGGAGTAACCAACTCTGGCAAGACCTATACTATACAGGGAGGTAGCGAAGAGGGGAGTGCGGGTATTTTGCCGCGGACGCTGGACATTATCTTCAATAGCATTGAAGGCTTGCACGGAGACGGAAGGGTGCGAAACAGTGCTGTTTATGGACCCTGCACTTCGAGCTAATCTCAGCATGTGCAGTTTCGTCCAGTCCGATTACAAGGCATTGAAGCGGCGGTTCCGAGCTGCTCGGATTCGCAAAGCTCTTCAATGCACGGCTTTGCACGGTCCAGCTCTTCCCCGGCCTTGGCAGATGTCCTTGCAGACCCCCCACCCGAAGATCCCGACACCGACCCAACAACGCTCAAGCTTGACCGAAATCATGAGTACACGATCTGGCTATCGTATTCCGAGGTCTACAATGAGAAGGTCTACGACCTCTTTGCTTCCGTCAACGACGGCGAGCCGTCGTCAGCGCAGACAGCAGGCATCCGACGCCCAACATCCTCATTCCTCAACATGCCTGCTGGGAACGGCTCCAAGCCACTCCTGCTCACGCGGAAGGCACTGTCGGTGAAGCCGTGCCCACCTTCCGACAACGATTCGGGTGACGGCACATCTGGCGGCAAGTACGTTGCCGGTCTGAGGCAGATCCAGGTGACGTCTGCAGCGAAAGCGAAAGCGTTGCTAAGACTCGGTCAGATGCACCGACAGGTCTTTGGAACGCTGGCGAACAGCCAGAGTAGTCGTAGTCATGCGCTTGTGACAATCAAGGTCCTGCGAGTACACCGAGGCGAGAGAAATGTGAGTCCATACATGCAAAAAACGTCTGGCTAGATCTCATTTAGTGCTGTCAGGATCCATCATCCATTCAAACATCCCGTCTAACCCTGGTCGACCTCGCCGGCTCTGAACGCACAAAACACACCCACACAACTGGTGACCGCTTGCGCGAGGCCGGCAATATCAACAAGTCGCTCATGGTCCTCGGCCAGTGCATGGAAACAATGCGCACCAACCAGCGTGCCGTTGCGCGGAGCCTCGCCACGAGCCAAGACCGCATCGACACGCGCGATGTCAAGAGGGGTCTCGCGGTCGTACCCTTCCGGCACAGCAAGCTCACCGAGATCCTCATGGACTACTTCGTCGGCGAGGGACGCGTCGTCATGATCGTGAACGTGAACCCGTATGATACAGGCTACGACGAGAACTCGCACGTCATGAAGTTTTCGGCTCTTGCCAAGGATGTTTGTACGACTGCGCCAACGGCAGTGTCGCGTGCGCTGCCCGCTCTGCCCCCGCACCTTCAGCAGCAAGCAATAACGAAGAGTTTAGCGGGTGAGGGGAGGGCCAACGATGTCGCTCCTCATCGCAGGAAGGTTACCATCTCCATTGGTGGTAGAGGCGGGCGTGTCGTTAGCGAGACACATCTGGAGGTGCTGGAAGGTGAGAACCCCTTCAGAAGGCGAATCATATCTCCACTCACAAGATACTGCAGAGGACGAAGAACGGGGAGATGATGATGATGCCGACGACGACGAGCCCATCAACCCACTCGTTGATGCACTCTTCGACGAGATCGAACGTCTTCGTATGCAGGTCGGCCCATTCCTCCAGTGTTATGTTACGTTGCATACTGAATATCTGTTCAGTTCTTTGAGAGCGAGATGCGCTGTGCAATCATCGAAGCCGAGACGCGTGAAGAGGTCATTCAAGAGATGGAGGGACGCATGCAGCAGATGGAGAAGATGTACAACCGTCGGTTAATGAAACAGATGGAGCAGAATGAGATGAAGATGGACGCGAAGATCGACATGCTCCAGCGTTCCGGCATGCTTGGAAAAGCTGCGCCTGCTGTTCCACAGCCTGGGCAGAAAGAGGTCCGCGGAGATGAGGTACTCGAGGACATTGAGGAAGAGGGCGAAATCGAACGAAGCCTGGTAGGATTGATACTTTGTCGAACTCGGTGCAATCGCTGATAGTATGAGGTACAGATCGAGGATCACGAAGCGGAAGAATCAGAACTGAGTGATGTCCCATGTTCATCCTCCCCTCTCGTCGCCAAGAATGCGCGGAACAAACAGCACCCGCGGGCGCAGTCCGCCAGAGGGGAGAGCACGGATTCTGGTCTATCAAGTAGCCAAGTTGCTGATGAGTCTGAGCAAATCGAGTCCGCTACCGACACGGGCGACGAGGATTATCACGACAAAGATGGCCACGACCAGGACTACAACGAAGATGAGATTGAAGATGCATCCGACGAGGAATGGAGTGGCCCCAAGTTACCGCCCAAGCCCGAGCCTGCGCATGGAAAGAAGGCTGCCGTTACCAACAAAGCGAAAGCGAAGCCTGTCCCTGCAACGAAGGCGAAGAAGGACGAGGTAGCACATCTAGTGGAGAAAACAGAACGCTTGTTCATCGGCCACGATGACAAGGGTGCGGAAAGTGACGATTCTGTTATCGTGCGGCCAAGCAGGAAAACTCGCACAAGCGTCGACTCTACTGCGAGCGTGAACATTCCGCAGGCCGAGGCGAAGAAGAAGAAGAGGTAAGCGTCCAAGTGTGCTTGATGTTACCTGTGCGTTGACAAACGTACGCTTCCCAGGCAACTCAACAAGAAGACGTTGATCACAAAGGACGAAGTTGAGCGTGCGGCCGACGAGGGTAGCCAGCCGCTGAGACGCAGCCTCCGCGGTAACCGGTAGGCAGGGTTGTGTGTTTTGCTCTATGTTTATCTTCTGGTATTGCCGCTATGCTACCTCGAGTCTTTGATAGACTTGATTGTATTAGATTAAAGTGAAGGTCAACGAGTTCTACAAACAATATTGTCCTCTGAATGCACATGAGCCGGACGCGCAGCTTACTTTACCGGCCAAGGATCAGTGCCTCCGCCTTTTTCGACCGCGGCTTAATCGCGCATTTGAAGGGTAGAGGATGGCTACGACCGGAACGTCAATCCTTGTACTACAACAAATAGCAAGCAACGTTCCCACCTAACGGCTCCCGTACCAAACGCGAAGTCCGGCGTCGCCACTTTGCCATCTTCGACGACCTTCTGAATATCGAAGACGGCCAAGATCATCGCACAGGATGCGAAGATGCTCGCTTCCGCAAGGTTGAGTCCTGCCATGATTGTTTCGTTGAGTGACTTGAACTACTCAAATCCCAGGTCTCAACTACAAACCTGGACAAATGCTGCAAGATTCCTTATCAGGCGAGTAACGCTGCACCCAGGGAAAAGCTGCTCACCGCCTGCCGAGGCCGAAATTAAATAGTCTGATATCTTGCTGAGGGTTTGCGCCTAAGAAGCGTTCGGGCTTGAAAGCCTCTGGCTCAGGATAGATCTCGGGGTCTTGGAAGAGATGCCTGCAATATATGCATGGACTTCAGCATGAACGAAATACAGAGGCCAGCGGGAAACTAAATAACAAACCACATGTTAACGACGACTATGGAACCCTTCGGTATGAAGTATCCACGGTAGGTATCATCTTCGGTGGAGCGGTGGGGTATCCCTATGCCCGGCCAGTGTCTCAGGATCACTTGACATCGAATAACAGAAACTCGAACTCTTACCAAGCGGAACAATGGGATTCCAGCGGAAAACTTCAGAGATAAGTGCTTGGACGTAAGGAAGCTGATCGCGGTCATGGATGAGTGGCAGTCTGTCTCCTCCAATGACGCTATCAATTTCTTGCTGAGCTTTCTTCTGTACCTCGGGGTAAAGCGTCATCGCCAGAAGAAATGACAGAATGACGGCTACAGTCTAGACGATGATGAGTCAGGAACAAGATGTTACCAAAGACTCAGCGGGAGACGTACCGTGTCACTGCCACCCCCATACAGTGACGCTACTGCCATCTTCAGGTCGTATTCTTGCTCGGGCGACATGTCCTGGTGTAGATTTTGGCTGACAATGCTCTCCGTACCTGTACCCTGAAGCTATGTGACAACGAGACGTGAGAATTGATGCAAAATGGTGGGTGTATGCATACAGCTTGTTCCTTTGCCATCGCATACGGAATCTCTGTCATCTGCTCGAAGAGGCTTCTCCATTCCTGAGCGCGTCGCTTCCAGGCTGCGCCAGGGAACCAACTCGGGACCCATTTTACTGGCTCAAGAATATCAGAGACTGTATGGTAGGTACGGCCCAGTTGAGCACGTACACGCGGGAATGATGTCGACAAGAAAAGCGCCAGGGACGGCAGCAGCGTCGAATCCGATCAGGGCTTCGTCCATCATCTCGACAAGTTCGTCCTTGCCTTCTCCCACATTATATCCGTACCCAATCCGCAGGGTAAATGCGCCAGCTGTGCTACAAGAGAGCACATCATCAGACGTAGCATGTATGAATGGGCACTTTCCGCGACTTACTTGTGAACGTTGTTGTGCAAGCGACGGAAGTCCGTCCCATCATCTTGAAGAGTCTGGACGAGAAATCTGGCGGCGGCAGCCTCTATGAGCTCGTGATAGGGTTCCATTTTCTCAAGTTGACCTCTGCTACCGAGGTGCCTGTGCAGCAGCTTGCGCATGTTTCGGAAGTGCTCGTTATATGGTGAGAAGACCAGCTGCTGCGCCCAACCTAGGAGCTCGCCGACCATGAACATCCTAGGGCGGTCGGAGTAGATGGCGCTTTTCTTCTCGAGAAGGTCGATTGCGGCTTCCAGCGAGTTCAAAACCACTATCCTCTGGCCGAGAATCGTAAAGGAGATGGTGTCTCCTATGATATTAAACTTCGCTATCAGCACAAGATAGCTATGAGAAGTGAAGGACCAACCATAGAGAATCTTCCATGCAGCGTACGTCTTCCACTGTTGCTTGGAAGGTGCATTAAGCAAATTGCCTAGTATCGGGAGAGGCTTGGGGCCAGGAGGATAGTGGTGCGAGCGTGTCTTGGTTGCGAGCCAGTGTGCCAGCAAAATGAAAGAGGCTGACAGTAACACAATTGCCAAAGTCTCCATGAGCAGCGAGTGGTTGCAAAGAGCGATTCCGCCGAAGTATCGCCCGTCTTAAATTGAAGGACAGACATACTTATACTAGTCCGTATCTATGCATGAGAACAAAAACTGCTGCGAAACTTATCAACATCGGTTCTGTCAGGATTGGACCATGATGTGGAATATGACCACCGCGGTCGTGGGAACCAGGACTTGCTTCGTCCGGTAGGATCGGTGGGTAGAGTCACAGCCTATTATGGATGATTGAGCCGAGTTTCGTGACGCGACGGCACGGCACGACACGCTTGCGCATCCCAATAAAGCAAGAAAGGGCGTTCTACGGTAGAATTGGGAGGATCTCGTGAGATGTTATGAGTTCAACGGAGATACGTACATCCGGAAGTCGCGGCGAAGAGTCCGACACTAGTATTTCATCCGGAATTATTATGCTTGACCTTCGGGCAACGAGACATGCTCCCTGCACTACGGGCATGAGCTGGTTTCAGATCACCTGAAATGTCCTGGTCAAGCCATCAAAACTGTTTCATTTTCGAAGACTTAACCGGGGCTTTCTGGTGTCCCAAAATGATAGATTTGCTACCACTTTCGTAGCCATTTGCGGTGCAGGAAAATGATAAATTTTGTGTAGCCTGAAATGAACCTGAAATGACTCAATATGGCTACATTTCAGTACAGCAAAGAGTTCATGTTTCAGGAGACTTTGTGGCGCATTTCAGGACATCTGAAAGAACATATGTAGAAATCATTTCCGCCTCATGTTTGCAATGAAGAAAGGTCCGGGCAAGGAAAACTTTTAATGATTCTAAAATTACCATTTACGGCAAATTCATAGTACATTTCTAGGACGTTTCTGACTTATCTCAGGTAAAAATCTTCTAGCTCATAAAATAGCTTCAAAATCCATCAGAAATGGCAATTTCAGGACCATCAAAAGTTTTCCTTGCCCGG